GTCACTTATAAAACTTGTCAAGTTGTAAACTGTAATATAATTTAGTTGTTTTTTAAATACCAAAATTTAAACGTTAATGTTACAGACAAATTACGTGTTATATTAATATTCATTTATTAAAACTTGGCGCGCTACCTAAAAAATGAGCGATTATTTTGAATTTTGCGCGTTTAGTACTTTTTGATTTGACTCATTCACTATATTTGACAATTGACGTTGAATTTGGAAGTGGTGAAGGCATGCACGTTACTTTTAAAATTATTTCGTAATTTTACGAAAATAAAAGAATATAAAGTAACAAATCATGAAAAGAAGTACTGACTGTTAAAATAAGATAATCTTTAGCTTGTAAATTGTAAGAATCGGGTATGTTGAGTTTTAACTGTTACATAATATAGGTTAGGTTTTACATGTTTTATTAACATTTTAGCAAGAAAGTAGTGTTATCAACCAAGTATTAATTAAAAAAAAAAATGGAAGAATATAGCAGAGAACCATGTCCCTGGCGAATTGTCGACGATTGTGGTGGTGCTTTTACAAATTTAAAAAAAATTAGTGCAGAAAAAAGTTATGATCAATTTAAAAAAAAAATATAGTTGTACTAAGTAATTAAGGTATAAATATGAATTTGTTACAGAATTATATGAGATATGTGAATTATTAGGAGTGGAGCATAAACGTTTAAAAGTTTCATTAACAAATAGATATATCGACGGTGGAATATTAGCCGAATTAAATCACAAAGAAGCTGCAAAATTCCGCGACACGCTTTGTAAGAACTTGTACAGTCGTCTTTTTACATGGCTTGTAAATAGAATAAATGATAATACAAGGGTAATTAGATAAGTTTTTTGTTAAATAAGGTACAGTTTGATTATTTTCTTACATTAGGGCAAGCCTTTTGGACGACGAAAAGTCCTTGGTGTTTTGGATTTTTACGGATATGAAAACTTGAATCAGAACAATTTCGAGCAGTTATTAATTAATTATTGTAATGAAAAAATTCACAATTTTGTTGTTACAACATCTCTTAAGCACGAACAAGAGGATATTATTAAAGAAGGTTTAGAATGGACTAAAATCGATTTTTTTAATAACGAGTAAGTAAATTTTTTGTCTTCAAAACTCTTCCATTTTAAAATATACTTATTCCTTTTAGAAAAATTTGTCAACTTTTTGAAGATGAAAGCCATGGACTTTTCCCTTTAATGGACGAGCCTTGTATACAGTGTGATACAATGTATCTAAACCGTGTAGAGCAAATTTGCGTTAGTCATTCGCACTGTATTACAACGGATACACTTTTGCCTCCTTTTTGCTTTCAGTAAGTAAAACAAAATCTAATTATCTAATTATTAGTTATTGATTAATAAGATATGTTTTTAGAATTCGGCATTATGCAGGAACTGTAACTTACAATATAAAAGGTTTCTTAGAGAAAAATAGAGATTCATTGTCAAAGGAAATTTCCAGGACTATGTTCTCTTGTGCACATCCCTTAATGCAATCTCTCTTTCCTGAGGGTAACCCAAAAAGGTGTTGCAAGAAGAGGGCGTTAACTGTAGGAACCCAATTACAAGTTGCCTTAAACGCATTATTAAAAAATTTAAATAACAGACAAGCTCATTACATCCGATGTATCAAACCTAATGAGCTGAAGAAACCAAAACTTTTCGAATTTCCCTTGGTACAACACCAGGTAAAAATTAATTTTAAATAATATGTAAAAGAAAATAAGTCTTGCAAAGTACACCTCATTTTTCTTTAAAAATAATTATTAATTCTTTGTAGACAAGTACATAAAAAAATTACTCAAAAAAAAAAACATTATTACAGGTTAGATATTTGTGCTTGATTCCCACCGTTCAAATGTGGCGTATGGGTTACTGCTATCATATGTCTTTCACACATTTTCTTGCACGTTACAAAATGCTAAGTACGCATACGTGGCCCCATTGGCGAGGTTCAATTATAGAAGGCTCATCGATTATATTGCGATCCCTTCCCATACCCAATGCTGAGTTTACATTTGGAAGGAGTAAGATCTTCATTCGTAGCCCTCGAACAGTATTCGAACTGGAAGATTTTCGAAAGTTGCGGTTACACGACTTGGCCACTTTAATTCAAAAAACGTGGAGGTGTTACAGGTGTAGAACACGATATCAGAAAATGAGGAGAAGTCAAAAAGTTATTGCGGCTGCTTGGAGGACCTGGAAAGTAAGTTACATGTCTTAATTAATTTAGAAATATGTCTAAAAACATTTCTATTACAAGTTAAAAGAAAATAAGTGTTAGAAAGTTCTTGTGGAATTATCATAACAATAATAATAAATAAATCATCTTTTTATTTTATTTAAATGATACTGTTTTTATACTTCACATATTTTTTACTAATGAATGAATTTGCTTTTAAAAATGCTGTGGGTCTTCTTAATTATTTATTTTAGGAGTTTAAGGGAGAGTTATCGTATCAGGGTCAAAGACATCTTTGGTGTCTTTATTGTGTGGTATGTTCACATAAAAAAAATTATTAGTTTTCGCTAGATGACATACCGCTTATACTTAAAGTCTTTTTTAAGAAATTATAATTATTGTATACTAGGTTTGTATTTTGGACTATCTTGCTGAAAAAAATGTAATCTACGTTTGCTAGTTTTGGCAGTAGTTACCTTTTCAATTTTCTTTATTGGTCTTTTGGTTAAAAAGTTTTATTTTCAGGCAAGGGAAGAATATCGCAAGTTTAAATTGAAAAAGCAGAAGGAATGGGCCGCAAGAGTTATTCAGAGACATTATATACAGTGGAAGGTAAGACTTTTAAATTAAAATTATCTTAACATTAAAAATGAAAAAAAACGTTCTTAGTACTAGTTCTTCCCCTCTATCAGTCACTGTGAGCTCGAAACTGTTAGCACCATTGTTTGAGTGGTCGAATTTCATTTTTGTGAACAATACTCTGACGTAGTGTCGGCCATCATTCTTTTCTAATTGTTGCTGTTGGCGGCCATCATTTTTTTTCAATTGTTGTCGCATTGTAACTGATGTCGGCCATTATGGTTTTTTAATAGATGTATAGTACTCGATGATTAAAATTTAAAGGAATTGTTTGTAAATAGGTATGCAAATTTTTGTTCTTTATTTTTAGTCTAGGGTAACACATTTATCAGCAAGTGACCGCAACTTTCACATTTTTTACCAGTTACTAACTGGAGCAGATATACATTTACTAAGTAAGTTTAAAATACATCAGATAAGTAATGTAAAATTAATTTGTGTTGTTTACTAGAAAGTTTAAAGCTTCAAAGAAATGTTGAACATTATAATATTCTTTTAACTGAAGATCATCAGCCAACATTAGCAGAAGATGAGGACAAAACATTATTTAATTACACAAAAGCTGCTTTGGAAATTTTGGGATTTTCTACTGAGGATAACTTGAATATTTTTGGTGTTATTGCAGTCGTCCTTAAGTTAGGAAATTTAAACTTTGTGCCTTGCAATAATATTGATGGCACAGAGGGATGTGTCATCTATAATGATTATGGTAATTAAACTTCTCTGCTTTTTCAAACACATTAATTTATTTATTTATTAAAAAAGATTAGTCTTTTTAATAATTAATTCACAAAGTCTTAATAAATTCTGACATTGGTGAAATGTTCTTATATAAGGATCCTCAATATCAACAGTTTCTACCTCATCATTAAGAAATCTACCAAGTACGGTTTCGTAACTGTGGTTTGTAGAATTATGTTCTATTGTAATTTGTTCATGAAAGCTACCATTTTCTTTGAGCTTCTGTATTGTTTCTTTTATTATTTCTGCTCTTTTCATGTACTCCTCAATTTTACTTCAAACATATCCGCCTTTCACCAGTTTCTTCTAAAGACAAGAAAATAATGTATTAACAACTTAATTTATTAAGACATGTGCTGGTTTAAATATGGTTTACTAATTACATTTTATAGTGATTAAGCATTATAAATCCAAATTTATATNGCCAATATTGCTGGTAGTTTCAACGAGGTCCATGTTGATTTTGGACCAGCGTACTCTTCAAATTAAATATCGCGTGCCAGCAACCGAAATTTACCGGATGTCATTGTCCCCTTTTCCAGACGATGTAGCTGTTGTTCATATAAAAGCTGTAAGGACTTTTTATAAGTTATTCTTTTAAAACCTCCATTTTCTCATACGGAAAATTAATTTATCAGTATCAGTAGAATTGAAGAATAATTAATTTACAAACTTTTTTTAAGTAAATGTTAGTGGCATAATTTTACTATAATAAAGTAAATTAGTTAAGCTTTTAAACGCTTAAAATGTGTAATTATTTAGTTTGTTATGTGTAAGGTGCTATGTAGAAGGCTAGAACGTTTTGTATTTTAGTCAGCAAGTGAGCACAATCAGTCTTCTTCTTGTGCAACAATGGAATCGACCGGTTGTTTATTTCAGAGCGACTTGAGTAGGAAAAAGGGTGATTTTGTTTTTCAAACGGGCCATGTCATCGAAGTGGTAACGAAATTGTTCCTAGTAGTTCAGAACGCCATCGGGAAAGCCCCTGAGGTCAACATTACAACTGAGTAAGTGAAATGAAATTTTAATCAAGTTCTCCCTTTTATATATATATACTTACATCTAAAAATTAAACTGAAAATATCATCCCTGAATTTGTGCATAAGTCATGTGTCCTTTCCAACACTTTTTAAAGTACTTAGTCTTGAGATATTTAAGTAGTGAATTACAAATTTGAATATCGGTATATAAATGACTTGTCAGCTTCTTTGATTATGTAGGGTCATTTTAAAGATTTAAATTTAGTAATACAAGTGCTATTCATATATTCATTTTTTAAAGATTCATCATAATACACAATTGATTCAATATTACATTTAGTTCTAGTATAAGGGGGTATCTTATGATTATTTTAATTATTTCCGAATACAATATTGTTTATTTTTTCGTAAATATTGAATAGTTTTATTACAGTTTCATTTGCATTTTCCCAAGCAATAATACCATACCTAGCAGTACATAATCGTTCTTAAACAATTTTCTTTCTTTAATCTCATTAACTCTTTGTATTGTTTCCCTAGTACACACTTATTTTTGACAAAGTGGGAATCTTTAAGAGATTCATTTTTGTTTTTTTTGATAATATTTATTGTTACTTTTAATGTAAGAATGTGGTCTTTTAGATTCGAAGCAAATTTTGGTTCTCAAACAGTTACCTTTACTTTTAAATGTGTTGGTTTATCAGAAGTGCGTGTAGTCCGTAAAGGAAATAAAATGGAGGTGTTAGTATGATGTCATGTGATACATATCGAGAAGACCAGCATATTTTTCACTGCCATTAGTCTTCTATTGCTATGTATAAACAATGCGTTATTATAACAAAAGTTATTTTTTTTCTTGTCTATACATATACAACACAAAAGTATGAACTTTGGCGTTTTTATGATAGTGATGATTGACGGCTTATTAAAAGAAAATAAAATAATAGATTTGATTAGTTTACGTTAGAATGTTAAAAGTGATTATTATTATTATTATTATGAACATTAGAAACGCAGAAGATTATGAATAATAGGTAAATAAGATTATTGTAGAACTTCTTCGAGATGAATCTATTTTCATTAATTAATATTCGTAATGTGCAATAAGCGAACACAGATGATATTTCAACTAAAGATAAATTATGTATATAAATTGTTAATAGACTAGGTTTGTTTTTTTAAAATAATTCATTTTTAAAATAAAGTTGATATATATTAAACACTCTCTTATCATCTATATATCATCTATTTATATTTTTGAAATAAGGCGGACTGCCAAAATTGGACTGTAAAGAAGTAGTGAGTTAGAAAATGCACAAATTGCATTATTCTGTGTGATTTAAACCTAGTTAAGGTCGAAAGTATTCAAGGATTGTAGTGTCAGTGCATTTAATAATTTAGTAAAGTTTAGATTCTATTTTAAACAAGTTCGCACTATCCTATGAAATTCGCCTTAAGTGCATAATAATTAGCACAAGGTGGTGCCTATCTGCCTACATGCTATCCACTGAAATACTCGTCATGAACTGCAGAACTATAAAGCTTAGTATACAATATATTTCAGAATATTGTACGGTTTACATAATAGTTCTATTATCTTATTGAAAACAAATGTTATAAACTATAAACTTCGATTTATTGAAAGAAGCAATTAAATAATATAAAGTAAACGTAAATGTATTTTACAAGACCTTTTTAAAAGTTTGACAGGAAGTTATATGGATCTTAAAAAACACGAGTATGTAGACATGTATATATAAAATTTTTTACTTCTTCTCAATATCATCGGACAATTTCTGAACTGTATCGTTTAAATTTTCACGTTGCTTATAGCTTTCTCTTAGTTGGGTGAAAAGCGACAATTGTGTTTCGTATTCCTTTTTCAAGTCGGAGTTTAATTTCACCATTGTATCTAGTTTTTGATTAAGTAAAGAGTGTTTTTCTTTCTCAACATTAAACTTTTGTTCCATGATGTCTATTTTATCTTCTAATTGCTTTACTTCGATGTTACGCACGTCCAAAAGATCTTTTGTGATCGCTACGATTTCTTTAAGTGATCCAATCTGCTGTGAAAGGGCTTCAATTTGAAGTTCTTGATTTCTACAAATTTTGGTTTTTTCGAGTAATAAGTTTTTCCCATTTTTTGGATTTTGAGCTAAAGTTGTGTTTATATCTGTAACTTCTTTTTGAAGCGCCTCATTTTTCGTTTTTAATTCATCTTTCTCTGTTGTGACGTTCTAAAAAATAGCAGAGAATGGTTTTTTTTTAGAGCTCAATTAAGATTTTTTACCTGTAATTTTTCTTCCAACTGTTTTATTATTTCATCATCCTTCCTCATTTTAATTTCAAATTGAGAAATTTTTTCTAGTAGTTCTTTTTCGCGTAACTGGAGGAGTGATTCGGATGCGTCATTTTCCTGAAATATGTAATATGTTCTTATTATATACATCTGCACAAAGGTATGCACTTTTATTTAATACATGTGTAACCTAATTTAATGGGAGTGTGATTTACCAAAATTTATTTTTGTAATTGTGTATAACAATTAGTTTTACAAACCTTAATGATGTTAGGCTCTTCTAGTTGTTGGATATCTAGGGCGCTTTTGGAAGATTGTTCAGACATTTTAAATTTAATTAAGTTTTAAACGAAAGAAAAATGTCGGGTCTATCGAAATAAGTTTAAGAACTATTAGAGTATTTTTAGAAGTCCATTCTATTTTTGGAAAAGTCACTTATAAAACTTGTCAAGTTGTAAACTGTAATATAATTTAGTTGTTTTTTAAATACCAAAATTTAAACGTTAATGTTACAGACAAATTACGTGTTATATTAATATTCATTTATTAAAACTTGGCGCGCTACCTAAAAAATGAGCGATTATTTTGAATTTTGCGCGTTTAGTACTTTTTGATTTGACTCATTCACTATATTTGACAATTGACGTTGAATTTGGAAGTGGTGAAGGCATGCACGTTACTTTTAAAATTATTTCGTAATTTTACGAAAATAAAAGAATATAAAGTAACAAATCATGAAAAGAAGTACTGACTGTTAAAATAAGATAATCTTTAGCTTGTAAATTGTAAGAATCGGGTATGTTGAGTTTTAACTGTTACATAATATAGGTTAGGTTTTACATGTTTTATTAACATTTTAGCAAGAAAGTAGTGTTATCAACCAAGTATTAATTAAAAAAAAAAATGGAAGAATATAGCAGAGAACCATGTCCCTGGCGAATTGTCGACGATTGTGGTGGTGCTTTTACAATGGGGTTGATTGGAGGCGGTGTATTTCAAAGTATCAAAGGTTTTCGTAACGCTCCTTCAGGCATAAATAGACGTCTAGTAAGTGTTTAATTTTTAAAACGATATTCTTTACTTAACATTCATAATTTAAGGACATAAAAACATGATTAAGTATTATTTTTTCTTTCTTTATAGATTGGCAGTTTAACAGCCATAAAGCAAAGGTCGCCTATAATAGCAGGTAACTTTGCTGTATGGGGTGGGATGTTTTCAACAATAGATTGTGCATTAATACATATTCGGAAAAAAGAAGATCCATGGAACTCTATAATAAGTGGTGCTGCAACAGGAGGGATATTAGCTGCTAGGAATGGCTTGCCTGCAATGGCAGGGAGTGCTTTCATAGGAGGTATGCTATTGGCACTTATTGAAGGTGTTGGGATTATGTTTACAAGATTATCAGCTGAGCAGTTTCAACCTCAACTACCACCTCTAGAGGACACTTCACAGTTTGGTGTAAACCAGTCAAGTTCAAATGCGAACAACTACAATTTCCAGTGAATACTGGTGATTAGACTGTGATTTTCTTCTTTTGACTGAAAGTGTGAGACAGGTTTGTTCTAAATATAGTAGTAGTAAATAATTTTTAATTTCTGCACCATTTTTTAAATCTTTTTCCTTAAAACTTGTAAGTACTTGGAAAAATTAAAAAAAAAAATAGGCTTTGAGACAGCAAAACTATTCTAGAAATATTTTATGTGCAGATTACAGTGCAATGTACTGAACTGAACAGAAAATTTAACTTCCAACTAATAATTCTTTTGCTTCAGATATCTGTAATTAAATTTGGCTAAAGTTGTGGAACAATTTTGATCATTTTATCAGATAAAAACATTCATTCCTTAGAAATTTAAATTTATTATATTATTTTTTTAAACCTTTACCATACAAACTTTTCAATGTCACTCTCTTAAAGCAAATTTAATTTAAAATCACTAGTAAAAAACTTTGAATCAGTGATTTTTCACTGCAGAAATACACTTCTGGATCTCTTGAAGTTAATTTTGTCTATAATAACAAGGTAGCCACACATAGAACGCTATCTGACAATTCTGTATGGGTTTAATTTATTTGTTGTAGTAAAAAAATAATAGAAAATGCAGTTTATTGTATTATGATTTTCTTTAATTCAATGACATTTTTAAACGTAAAATTTTCGCATTTTTAATTCTTTTTAGAAATAAAAAGCCTAATCTACTTGCTTAAAAGCAGTTCTCGTACTAATATTTGTTTTGTTTTGAATATTTTATAATAATCATTTCGAGTATAGTATTGGATACATAAATAAATACAATTTATAAATTTAAAAATGGAGAATTTCCAGTTGTTTAGTTGAAAAATGTTAATGCAAAAAAGGAGATAATATATACTGAAATAAAAACGGTATGTTGGTCTACACAATGTTTAGTCATCAGTAGGGTAGACTGATTACTTACATTGACTAAGAAACTAATATTTTGTCAATTAAAAATGTAACATTTGTTGGCCCCCACCTCAGTAAAAAAGCTTTCAAATCAGACATTGGTAAGAAAGTTTATTTTGTTTAAAATAAAATTGCTATGACTTAATGAAATTAGAAAAAGACGTTTATGATTGTTCTGTACTTACTGCTTTCCCATGTATTCTTTTTTTTTTTGTTTGTTTAAAATTATATTTTAGCAGGTATTTTAAATTAGAATTAATTTTGGCTTTCACGAGTGAAAAATTAATTACTTATCTGTATGTACTGGGGATGTTGTGATGAAGAAAAAGGCTCGGTATAGATTTCAAATTTATTTTTTTTTACGCATTACTCGAAATATTTTATTATGTAACAAGACCGTACTTTACAATTATTTTTATGCGTAAAGAAATAGCTTCTAACATAAAGTAAAACATTTCCTAGTAGTTTATAAACGTAAATCTGTTCTTTTTTATAAGTAAGGTGTGTACAAATAACGGAACTAAATGAAAAAAACATGCTTAGTTGTTAAGAATTTAACAAAACCATATCCACAGTGTTGCAAAGGTGACGAGTCTGTTACACCATTCCATTAAACGTTTCATTTTAATTTATTTAAAAAAAATCACATATTTTTCGAGTTAACGATTTGAATGATAGATTTTTATTAAAATGAACAATTTGAAATATTTTTTATTTAGGTACAAAATAAATCAACTAATTTTTTTCTTAAAGTAATTATGTTATTAATAATGTTCTATTTTATATTTTACGCACAGGGATTTAACTACCCTTTGTACAGTGTAATTTTATTGGCATGACTAAGTTTCGTTATCTTCTGCCATCATTTGTTCGATTAATCGTTTTCGTTCTTCGGCTTGACGAAGTTTTGTTAAAACCACACTCTCGTAATCGGACGGTTTTATGGTTGAACTGTACACCCTATGATTGATTGTTTCACGTGGTTCATTAAGCCATCGCAATTCTAATGGATTTGTGGACAATCCTTTTTCTAGTTGCACAGCCATTTCCTTTAGAAAGATACATTTCATTTATATATTAACATAACAGCTACCAATAATTTATAAATATTTTGAAAAAAATGGATCTAATTTTAAACAGTATTACTTGAAATAATTCTTTAAAAATAAGTAAATTGGATTCTAGAGTAATTGAATAACATTAAACTATGATTTCTAAAAACTTGAAATAATAGTTTTAGGATAAACTAAAAATTTGTTTAAAAAGTAATATTACAAATCTGCCACAAAAACATCTTTAATAATTTAGCAAAATCAAATTAATTAAAGTTTTACATACTGCCGCTCTTTGGGTAGTGAATTCAACTAAAGCACTTCCTTTCTTTTTAGAAGACATAATTAATGCAGACAGATCTCCATACTGAAATAAATATTGAAAAAATGTATATACACACAAAGCGATTAAATTATGCCTTAAGATTAAAGGAACTTACAATTTGGGTTTAATTTTTATTCAATGCTTGTTAGATACCTTTGATAAAAATTTAGAAAGTATTTCTTGTGTGTATCCCCCATTATCTGGATCATTTTTGGTAGCTTTCCACTTAATTTTAATACGATGCTCGCTAGGATTCCATCTATCTATTTGTGTATTTTTTGGTTTTTCTTCTCTTATTTTTCTCATAATATATTCCATTTCTTCTTCTACTTGTTTATTACCTTCTTTACGTAATCTTTCTATTTCTTCCTAATAAAAATAAATAAAAAGGAATGTTTTAAAACACTGTACAGTTTCAACTAGCCTTTAACTTTTGTGCTTCTGTTTTCCCAGTAGTTCTTTCAGTGGCTGCAAATTTTTCTCTGGCCTCAAGATCTTCTTTTAGTTTTCTTCGTTTATTGTCTAATTCTTTGTGTCTTTGAGCAGCCTCCTTTTTACCTCTTAATACTTTATCATAAGCTTTTCTTGCAGATTCATCAGTTAAAATTTCTAAAACTTTTGTTAACTGATGGAATTGTTTAGCAGCATTAGGATTTTCAGGATTTTTATCAGGATGACATTGAAGTGCTTTTTTTCTGTAAGCTTTTTTGATCTACAAAAAATACATTAACAACATATGTATTTCAAAAAGACTTCAATATTTACATCTGTTGCGGTGGATGATGGTTCTATTTCCAAAATTTCATAAAGATCTGCATCTTCTATTTTAAAATCGTCCAAATTAGCCATAATGTTTGCTATGGATTTTAACCACTACACACTGCTAATTTTATCACAACTGTTTCAAAAATTAGTAATATTCATTTAAATAGTTCTAAATATCAAGACTTTAACTGACAATAATTTAGGACTGTTTTATTGGCAACTCTTGTCTTGAGTATTTCCGAGTAGCTATTATCGATTAGAAGCTTTTATATTTTATTATCTCAGGCGGTTGCAGAAAAATCCATTTAAATTGGTAACGAATACTAGTATCCATACCACTACTAAAGTTCATTCGGACTATGAAGTAAATGTTTTTAAATTTCACTTCCTTAAAAGAAAGGCAGTATAATATTACTATACAAATGTATTTTTTAGTGTTTAACAGGTACTTAAATAAGAAAATGCAAATTTAAGGAGAAAACTTACGTAGTAAACATAACCTCGATCATCTTGTCACACTGATCAATAACCAAAAGAAATGACCTCATATAAGCATTGGGACAAAGAACTGACTGTTTTTCTTGTTGTTTTAGGTATTTAATAATGTTTTTAATCGTTTTTCACCTTTATTGAAAGTTCTACTTCACATCACTTAATACATCTTATTATAATAGTTATTTATTTATACATATTAAATATATTTATCATTATCTATGTAACTATCAATACTGTTACTATAGACCATCCATAGACTATCATCATAGATAAGATATTATCTTAATTTAATCGTCATAATATGAGGCTCTGTAAACAACTAAACCCAGTTTTAAATTATTATTACTTTCTAATAACAAATATTGTACTTCACTGTGTTATTACTAATGGATTGTTTATGATTTAAGAAATTTTGCAGTAGTACCCCAATTGTGAAACCATTATCTATGGTTTTAATATACGTTAGATTATCTATGTACGTTAGTTTGGTTCATAGATAATAGATATACAAAGGGTTTGGTTAGTTAACAATAAAGAACTTGTAATGTGAATGTAGCATGATGTAAATTAACTATATTATTATAATTAACTTACTGAGAAAAGGGAGAAAATCTACGAAGTAGCAGATTACATTATAATGACGGAAGAATTAAACGAGTGTGAATTGGGGACTCGAGAGTATTGGGATAAAAGATATGAAGAAGAAATTCGCAATTATAATAGCCATGGAGATGTGGGAGACATTTGGTTTGGAGAGGATATAGCTGATAGAATTGTGAAATGGATGGAAAAAAATACTTCCAAACAAGCCACAATTGCAGACGTTGGATGTGGAAATGGTATGCTTCTTGTATATTTAGCACAAAGTGGTTTTGAAGATTTAAGTGGTTTTGATTATTCTGAATGTGCAATTCATTTAGCTGAACAAGTGATGAAGAAAAATAATTACTATTTTAAACTAGTCCAATGCGACATTCTTAAAAGTCATGGTTTATGTTCTAATTTTGATGTGATTGTGGATAAGGGTACTTATGATGCTATTAGTTTAATGAAAGATGCAAAAAAAAATAGAACGGTGTATATTGAGAATATGTATGAATGTCTTAAAAACCATGGATTTTTGTTATTAACGTCTTGTAACTGGACTAAGGAAGAATTAGAAGAACAATTTTTATCAAAGTTTACAGTTCATTGTGTCATTCCAACACCACAATTTAAATTTGGAGGAAAAGTCGGAAGTATTGTTTCAGTTGTTGTTTTTAAAAAGAAACATGCTTAATTTATTTAATTTTTTTTTTATTGCTTATTAATCAGCTTCCCACTTTTTCAAATGTGAAACTGAAGTTTTTTTCTTGTAATCGGATGAAACGTCAAAGAATAAGGTTATTTTAATAAATATTTAAAAATCCAACATTGCCAAGTTACTACACTGTATATCCTAATGCATATTTAATGCTCTAATATCCAAAACATAATTATTCGTTGAATGTTTGGTGGTAAGTTTCATCGTCAATAATTCGGTTATAATAATCTATTTAAATTCATTTAATATATATGAAAAAATAATTAGGATTTCATAACACTAAACACTGTTAGTGTAAATGAATGTTTTTCACTTTGTTTTGGGTAATTGTATAATCTAGGCATTTTTATGTTGTGTACTGTACGTTACAATTTTTTATACGATTTCTAATAAAGAAAGATTATCATAGTTTAAAATGCGGACAAAATACTATAATTGTATTGTGCTGCTTATTTTTAAGTTAAATATTCCGTTATTAATTAAGAAAGATGGAAGTACAAANAAATGTTCACGGTGTTAGTAATAAACAGTTACTGCTGAAATTTTCGTAAATAAGTAAACCTAATACGATTCCCTGGAAGAAAAGAGTTGATTCAGCGTTACTCTTGCAGAATACTAAGTGTCTAATAGTTAAAAGCCAGCGTATGTGCTGAAATCTAAAATGTAGCAACGTATTGTATTTATCTATCCACACAATAGTTCTGCAAAGAGGAAACTCATGTTGATCTTTTTTACGATCACATTACGCTTCTGTTAATTTTACTACTACCATTAAATAGTTAAGAGGTTTCGATCTCTAATATTTAATTATAATATATTGTATAAAGCGCTAGAATACAAAAAGAAATTAAGAAGAAAATTCAGTCATATACATGCATTATTTAATTTAGAATTTGCTTAATACTTTAGGGAATAAATATTATTATCAGAAAAAAAATACTGTTTCCGAGGGATAGAAAAATTAGTTTTTTATGGTTGTCGATGATCTTTGATACGTATGTACATATTTAGGACATTAACGCGAGCAAATACTCTTAAAAGTATTTGAATATAGTATTTTATATATTTTTACTCAAATACTTTACAGGTTTGCCCGGTATTACGTAAAATTTAAAACCGTAAACATTCAACTTCACGTAGCGTTAAACTTACTTCTGACAATGAAAGGTTCTTTTCTGTTCCAATTAATTACGTTGACATCGCTTTCATGTGCTTGGTCATTGCTCAGCATGCAAGCTTTACTTGGTGGTGCCCTGATATCCCAAATTCGTATACTCTTATCCACTGAGCAAGATGCTAAAACACTCTCTTCATTAGGTGACCATTGTATATCTTCCACCGAATCAGTATGGCCGATTAAAGGCCTCTGGTCCACGTTCCATTTGCCTCCTTCTGCTGGTCGCCATATATGTAAATTCCTTCTACAATCACCCGTAACATTAGTAATATTCATTTAAATAGTTCTAAATATCAAGACTTTAACTGACAATAATTTAGGACTGTTTTATTGGCAACTCTTGTCTTGAGTATTTNTCAACTTCACGTAGCGTTAAACTTACTTCTGACAATGAAAGGTTCTTTTCTGTTCCAATTAATTATGTTCACATCGCTTTCATGTGCTCGGTCATTGCTCAGCATGCAAGCTTTACTTGGTGGTGCCCTGATATCCCAAATTCGTATACTCTTATCCACTGAGCAAGATGCTAAAACACTCTCTTCATTAGGTGACAATTGTATATCTTCCACCGAATCAGTATGGCCGATTAAAGGCATCTGGTTCACGTTCCATTTGCCTCCTTCTGCTGGTCGCCATATATGTAAATTCCTTCTACAATCACCCGTAACTAAAAACTGAAAGTATCACTATCATAAACATAACCCAATAGGTAATTTTGGTAGCTTACTCCTGGTGCTATAGAACTCCAATCCATGCCAAAGCCTTCTTCTTGATGTCCACTGAGAGGTTTAATGGTATTTTTAACGTGTCCTTTGTTATAATGAGATAAAAGTTGAGGATTATCTACAGCCTATAGCTGTTAAGTTAAATCCCAAATGTTAACTCACCCTAATTCACTCCAACTGGCTGCGACATCTGTATTGTTTAGTTTTGTACACTAAAATATGTAAATACTCATAACAATGAATTGAATTACTTTTAATTAAACTGACCCGTATTCTATCAACACACCCTTGGTGTTTTATCAATGCACATGACATTTGAGAACGTTTAGACTAATCCCCGTCTTCTTCATCGTCATCTTCTGATTCTCCTTCGTCACTTCGACTGGTCTTATGTAAATTCGAAAATTTCATGATTATGAGACTGTTGATGTCAGTCTGAGATGCTTGAGTTCCAGCTATTGTATACATAGTAGCTCAAAAAGTTTCTCTATTTTTATCAAGTTCGTCCTTAATAACATCGAAACTTACATGAGCTCCTGTTTGGGCTTGATATAACATAATGTATGCTGTTTCATCACAAACTAGTTCATCACCTTCTTTAAGAGGCTTACCAGGAAGGTAAACTTCTTTTGCTTCAATACTTTCCTTGTTTTCGTCGTCTCCTTCGTGCATTGCGTTATCGTTCTCCATGGTATGACTTTCTTCTAATTCCATCTCATTACCAGACATTTCGCCCCATTTTTAATAGATAATCATTAAAAATAAGAAACACGTCTGATAAAATGTTAGATTAACTCTTCCAAACATTGGAGTTATAGATATAAACGTGGCGGAGACCATAGATTAAAAAAATACAACCGTCAGCGTAGGCAATCATAGATAAGATCGAGATCATAGATATCAGGCAGAACAGAAAATTTCTAATGTATTGCCTGAAGTCGGCAAATGAAAATTTGTTTTTCATATTTTATCGATGTTGATGGTTTGTTGATTTATTTATTTATATCCAATCAGTAGGAAATTTTTTGAACTTTCAAACCCTAATTTAAAAATGTCCTTTTTGCTTCATGTTAAATTAATTTTTCTCTTACCAAACGAGNACATTGGATTTTAACGACTTATTTTTTTTTTTTCTACAATATAGGCTTGCTTTGAGATGACATCCTTGGATTAGATGGGAAAACTATTTACAGATGTGATGATCCTGGCAGTCAAATATACTTTTATTTCCAAGAATGCTAGTCGAAAAATACACAGAACAAGATGTTAATGGTGGTAATTATCATTAATAATAAAGTAACAAAACTTAATTAACAAAAAAATAAGACTAAGTTGTTTCAACAGGTTTCCAGTAAAACGTAATAAATTGACATTGAGAGGGTAAATCAGCAAGGGGAAGAAGTAGAATCCCATTCATGCTTCTTTGGATTGGTTTTGGAAATGGACCGTTAGTAGAAAGGGTAAGGAATCTTTAATTATTTTATGGAGAATGGTTTGATGATAATTACTGTTATAATTTTTTACTCTTTTGAATTGTAAGTTAAAATACTTGAAAATTTAATATTTAAGATGAAACTAACATTAAATTGTTTCAACAGGTTATGATTTTAACACATGAAACGAACAAGGTGAAAAAATAAAAACGATTGGAAACCTGGAGGAGTGGAGCCCCTTGGGACCTGAAAGGTGCAGTTTTTAGAAATACGTGCAGTCCAATTGACACCGATGCATATAAAATTACACATGTGATGTCTTCTACTGTGTGGTTCATTTCACCATCAGTGGCATTATTTTCCTTTCACAAGCGTCTATTGTTGAACAACGCTTAGGAATAAAACTAGAGCACCATAGAGTATATTTGAGGTAAGCGGTTGTTTTACTGTTTAATTATTTCTGTGGCATCTATGGTTTCTCTTCTATCAATTATCTATTGTTTACAGCATAAATTGACATCGTCCATCTATGGTTATCTCTATTGCTTTTGGCATTTATCTGTCATAAATGTAATTCACGCCCATGTCGCCATTTTATAATGTAGTTATTTACTTGCCTTTTGGTGCATGTTTTTATTGTATTTCATGTTTTACTTAACTTAATCCCTTCTTTAATTAACATTTTTTTTTGTCTATTTCTACAGATCGTCCAACAGATGAGAGGAAATTGAAGTTCAGATTGATCCTATTGAAGCAAAACTAATAACTGGTGTTGTCTTTCTTGGACTCTATTCTGGATTTGCTGTTTTCATCTTCACCTTGCAACATTATGCAGTTAATTTTCAACAGATAAGTGAGAACAAGAGGAGATTTACTTGAATTCCACTAAAGGAGCAAGTTTTCTTCTTTGGCATTTCTACTGGATTNACATTGACTGTTGTGGTAATTCAAATTCGACTGTTTTCATATAAAAGTCTTGCTGTGTGCTAAGTACCGAACAGCGCGTCTAAAAAAATAATTAAAGCAATAAATTAACACTGAAAATAGTAGACAAATTAAATAAAACTAATTTACCTGAGAATACGTTAAGAAAAATAATGAGTCGTCTTCAAATTCCTCCAAAGTGGGTTGATGAATGTGTTCTTCATTTTGCAATGTAGTTATTAATCCCTAATAAAAAAATAAGTGCTTAGGGTAAAGTAAATGGGGAAAATACTGTATAAACTCATTATATATGTTAAAAATATTTTGTGCCACTTTGAAGAAACTTACAAAAAATGCGAATTTTATGGCAGAAAGTTCTTTAAGCACTGAAAGAGATGTTACAGTTGCCGAAACATCAGAAGCCATATTATTTTCGATAAAATATTTGGAGAGACAGTCTCGTGGTTCCTGAGAAATCCTGAGGGACTCATTAACTATGAAGTTAACGGGCAGAAATAATTTTAGATTTGAACTCCAACCGCTATGGAATGGTGTAATACTGGATATTACAGAGTTTGCTATTTGTACACCAAGTCTTCCATATAAAATGGAGCTGAAATAATAATTAAATTAATATTTTTCTGATATCATACAACCAATAAAGCGTTCCTATCTTTCTTCGGAGAGAAAAGTATGAACGCGTACAATTAGAGGTGTTACTTTACTCTAAATTAAGTAAATTTGCAGATAATTGTTGGTAATTAACAACTATTTTTATTAATTTTCGATAAAAGATCATTTATCACATATTATTAAGTTAGTAAACTGATTAAAGAAGACAACAATGAAAATCAATTACATAATAACAGTGGAGGCAATTTCTAATAAAAAATCTAAAAATATTTCGACTTATTTTCTGTGACATAATGTACTTTTAATGGGCTTAAAGCTAATTAAAAATAAAAATACCTTGGATATTTCGTGTCAAAGAATGGTTCAGTTAAAACAACCCTAGGCACAAATATGGTATTTTCTGACGGTATATACGATGTGGATAAGGGTTGAGATAAAGCGTAATCAATAAGTACATTCTCCGGTTCTGAATTTACCAGTCGTTGTCCTTCTAATTTTCGTAAGAATTCAATGCCATGTCTGTAGTTTTCGAATAAATTAGTCTTTATTACGATTAGTTTACTATAATACTGCTTCAGGTGATTAGCACTCAATACGTATTCTGGTAAACCAATTTGAATTTTAAGTCCAGAAATCTACAACAAACGGAAAAAAAATGTTCAGAAATAAGTTAATTTTAAACCATTCCGTATTTCAAAAAAACTTGGTACTAAATGGGACCCGCACTTTACAATTTTTTACTTTGAAAAATTGACTACAAATGAAAATAATTTATATTCTAATATAAATACATAGTTACTATTAGTATCTGTATTAAAATTGGCTTTAGAGTTATTGACAAGCTTATCTTATAATGACACCATATGGTATCGACTAATAAAACTAACGTAAGTTTTCAAAAACACTCACCTTTTTTGATAAATGTTGATAAAAATCAGGCGTTTCTCTGTATTTGTCAATGTAAACCTTTACTGCATTACGTATGGATTGAAATAATCGATTAACAACTTCAGTTTTATTACGAAGAGATCTTTCTTTTCCGAATAGACTCTCCACAGCTAAACCAGCAAATCTATAAACTAAATTTGAACATTCTTCCCAGCGCGGTACTGAACGTTTTATTCCTAAAATTTTTGTTTATTATATCACATTTCCGAAAGAGATTATTATTAATCTTACCCAAAAGGTCTCTTTTAAAATTATTCAGCGAGGCTGTAAAGGGTGTTGATAAGTAAGGTACATATTCACGAACTAACGTCCACATAATGTAACTGTTAAGGGTAGTTCTATCAGTGGTAGATATAATTTGTGAAACTTTTTGTAAATAGTCCAGGGATGATACCAAGACGTCAGTGTCTTCATTAATGTTTGCGTCTGGATATAAAGCTGCTAAAATATCTTGAAGCGGTAACTAAAAATTGTATGTCATGTTTGACTAAGAGTTTCATATCAATTTGATTCGTAGTTTGAAGCATTCTCACAAATATAAAAAAATGAACTCTAAATGTGTTAACATTTAATATACAGTCAGTCCTCGCATATATACAGTACGTTACTCTCTCGAAATATATGGCAAACACGTCAAATTACTTGATTACAGCAAAAAGATCATTAATTTTACACATTACAGCAATTTGGGGTACTCAAGCGTACTGAATGAATGGAAAGAATCGCAGTTTATTAAAGAAATGATTTGCAAAAATACTCGGTATTCACAAAATAACAAGTACACGTGCGCATTTTCAATTTAATATAGAAAAAAAGTAATTCCGAATTCATCAAATTAAAAAAAAAATATGTACATAAACCACAGTGGATTTTTTAGTGTTCTTTTTAATTTTGATAAAATGTTCCATGAAGCAGAATTTCCCAGGAAAGTGTTAACAAAAACTTCCTTTTTCTGTTTGATCATGTAGTACATTTTTGGTAATTGGATCCATTTTTAAATAAAGGGCGGTATATTGAGAACTGCCTGTATATAAATAAGTTTCGTAAATTGTTAAGCGACCGGTATCTAATTTTTATGAAAAAGTCAAACTGAACTTATTTTATTAATTGAATTAAAGTTGCATGAATGGTTCGTTCAAAAATTGATCCAGTTTTATTTCATTCGACTATTTCGATTTCACGAATTCGATTTCATTGTATGACTTTTGGTCTTTGAACTTTTGATTTAATTGTGTAACGTACATTTCATTTTGTCTTTTTCAGACAAACTGTGTGTGACAATTTCAAAAATGACGTTTAAACATTTATTAATTTAAAAAAGGTATTTTCATTTCGTTGTTATTTGAATTTATGATGACTTCATCAAATGTAATTGGAAATTTGAAGACATTTCTAATTTTTTTATGAATGTCATGTTTAAAATTCTATAACCGGTCATTTAACATAATTTCTTGTTGTTCTTGACAGTTAATGGCTTACCATTGATAGCGTGTAATGCAATTCGGAAAGTTTAACTAAATTATACGTGTTGACCATATTCATCAATTCAAATGAATTAGGCGTGATTTCTGCTATTCTCTTTTCGTAATAAAACATATCAGTACTGAACTTTTCCGCATCCGTCTTAGTTACACTAAGATTAATAATGATGTCCCTGATGAATTGCGTGTATGCAGTTTGAATCTAAAATTAAGGAAATTCTGCAGTTACACATTTAAACGTCTTTTTTAGTTTGCGTTTTTCAAATTATTTACATTCGTATACAAGTCACAAGTTTGCGTACATTTGGCTAGAGATGTGCAAAACGGTTTTTTAAAAGTATTTAAATATAAAATGCAAATACTTTTTTGATTTGTTAATTCAAATGTAAAATATAAAATAGATTTCTCTTTTGTATTTCAAAAGTTAAATGCAAATACGTATTTTCAAAATACTTTTTTGTAGAACCTATTTAANTCAAATAAGCATAATATAAACACATAAAGTTGGAGTAAATAGTGTGATCCCAATGACCAACCCCTTGTGAATTTCGATATTTTCCAGAGCGTAAGCGAGATCTAACCGAATGCGGTTCATGTCTATCATCTGCGCTGTAAGTGAAAAAGTCAAGGACGACGTCTCGATGGTACAGCTGTACTTACCTATACCATTTTTCCTGATAAAAATACTGTGTAATGAAAATATCGTAGCCATTTATATACCTATTATACTTTTACTCCATTTTATACAAGGTGTTCATATAAATAAAGTTTAACAGCTTATAACCTTTTAATTATCATATTGTTCAAAATTAATTTAATTACAACACCTTTGTGTTTGTTTAGTATCTAATTTTTATGAAAAAGTCAAACTGAACTTACCAAATTGTCATCATCTTGATAATAGTAGCTCTTGTCGGGTAATCCTAATCCAGATGGAAAAATAGCAATAACATTTTTACCTGGGGTGTATGGATTCGGTTTCACAGTCACTTTAAAATACGGAGCCGCCCCATATTTCACGTGAAGATTAGTGAGAAGTGTTTTGTAATTAAAGTCGGCCATGTTAAAGTCCCGTAGGACGTACCACCCACCTATAATAAAGAAATTAATTTTTTATTATAATCGATAAAAAATTACCTATATACTCATTATTATGTCTAGTTTAACTTAATAAAAATATTCTTATGGGCATTAGCCTGTTCATTAGAATTTTAACAGTGATTTTTGGTTCATTTGCTTATACCAGAATCAACACCTTAACGGGTACTTAACCCCAAAATTCCTTTTATTTAGCTTGGTCATTTATATCAAGATAAATAATCTTGCTAGAGGATAAATAGCACATGGTGAACGAATCCACCCAAAATTTTATTTTATCTCATCAGCACGCCATAAGCAGGCTAATCACCGGCCAAACCGAAGATTCTCCATACACTATTGACGAGGTGGGGATTTTTTTATTAAAGTAGATATGATGTTGATTTAATGTATCGATTATATTCTGAAGATGCGACAAAACAATTTTTAAGAGTTTACGTTAAACAGTGGAAATTAAGTTGTTTTATTTTTATTTATGAATATAATTATGTACCTGCTTATNTTTTTGTGAAAAATATTTTCTCGATTAATATTACTGCAATAGACATGTGCGGTTATTATTAATTTTGTGGGATGCACTTGAGGCTTTTATCTAAAAATTTTAATTTAAAATTTAAATCTAATTTGAATCTAGAGCAAAAATATCAACTGCATTTAGCAACCATCTCACAAAACTTTTAAATCCAGACCTGTCGAACGAATGAAAGGTCACCTTTAAGGAACGGAATTCTATAAAATACAAAAATTTGCAGAAACTAGGTGCGTTGTTAGGCAACCCAACATGCTGTATTGAAAGTTAAAACAAACAATTTATATTTAAAAATAAAACAATCAAAATTAAAAGTGAATATTACTTATTTATTATTTTACCTGTAATTTCTAGTCAGATTCATTTTGCGGAATAATTTACATATATTCTGAAAAATTTGTTGAAGTAGTTTATAATTTCTAATCAGGTCAAGAGTATTCATACTCCAAGTTACAGTTGCTAACGTTGTGCATACTGTATTGTTATATGTAATACATGTAACACCAATTCATTAAACAAACTTTGAATTTATAGTCGTTTATCTGATTTTTTCGTTGGTTGCGATGAGACATAAAATTTTACATAATTTTTAAAATTAAACGCCTCTAAAGGGTGAAATGCGAGTTAAAATTTTTAATGTATAAAATTCTGACTCACTAATACACACCCGAAACTACTGCATTAAATTTGGACAATAGTGTGCAATTACTTGTAGATTTTTAGATATCAAAAATATAATATAATAATAACCATATCAAAATTTCTGCACACCATTCTTTTGTTTTCATTTATTTTAAAAGAAAAATATCGGCTTGACTAGACTAGCGATTTTATACACTACACTTATTTCTTTTTTATTAATTTACCTTAATTTATAATAGCATGGTGTGTTCATGATTTTCGAAACTTTTATTATGTGTTTTTTCCAAGCAGTCTGAGCTATTTTACTTTGGTTTTATTATTCTACATTACATTAGTTTAGATTAATATCATATAGGTTAGTTTATTTAGTAAAAGATCTGTTATATTTTCTCTTCAAGACTCATGCATGCTTTATGATATTGCTTCATTAGTTTATATGAAATTTAGTTGCTATATTCATAATAATATGTATTTTATTTTCTTTATTAAATTAGTTCTAAGCTGTGCCACCCACCTACAAGGCTAGCCCCTCTACGGTCTATTTACTTTTGAATGCTTAAATATGTGCAATGGAAATATAAATGCGCAAATAAATAATTAAATAAACTGAACTTTAAGCAAAGTGCAACCTGCATGCAATATACAATATCTAATACTTGAAGAGTAATGTGTTCAACATGCAAACATTGCCTTTTCACGCAATGGCAAAAGTTCTTAGTACTTCATATATGATTTGCTATAAATTAAGATAAACAATTATAACCAATACTAACATACTGGACATGACCATTTACTTATTATGATTAAATCTAATTAATGTCTAAATATCATTAATACTGCCACTTACCCCTCTTGCTTCTGTTTTCAGTGGGCTAAAAAGCATTGATACATCGAGGCTGAAATGAAAAGTGCATTGCAATCTCCAACCACACAGTCCAGCTCTGTTCCTGTGAAATAAATTGTTACAGACCACAATATTCTAATTGTTATTATTTTAGTAAACAGTGAAATAACAGAAGTGGAAAATCTTCTTACCTCAAGATGCTTGAATGTGAATAACACAAGAGAAAAATTGCATCATTGCATGCTATTGCATTTGTCTACAATTCGGTAGTCACCGGTGGTGGATAGTACGCTTCTATTTATGTATTTATTGGTAAATCTGTGAGAAAGAACAAGAAACAAGAATTAGCAACATTATTATGTAAACAAAACCTCACTTCTAAATGTATTTTAATTTATTCATTGCCTTAATATATCGATATTTATGTAGGTTAATATCATTTCCGTAGGCATTCCATCTAACAATATTTTTATTAATGAGTCAAGCTGCCAAGCAAAAAACCTCAAGAGATAATACAAAGATAAACAACCTACGATGTATTTAATATGTATACGTAAAAGTAGTTTGCATCATAATTGTCCTTTACCCCGCTCCCTTCTAATAGCATTTCGTCAACTTTATCACTCGGTTGAAATACTTTTAATTTTCAACATGTTTGTGTAAAAGCAACAAGTTCGTTTGAACAGAGACGGATTCAGCAAAATATTTCATTAAATTCAAACACAATTTTCATTATTTTCATTGGGTTAATGCAACATTTTCAAAATTAGTTTAAAATATGCAATTACAAAATAATTGCACATATTATTCCTTTCTCAAAAGTACTTAAATAAATATCTAAATTGTAATACTGTTTATTTAGTATGACTTAAATTATTTTACTGCAAAAAACTCTTGTTGACACATTAAAAAGCAATTCGCTTTTACTCTCATCTTTAATTTTATCTTATTTATAATGTTTTTTTTTTGTGAAAAATATTTTCTCGAGTCTTTAAAAGANCTATACATCATACTATAAAAGCGCCATTATACTAAAGCAAACCATAGATCATATATAGATGACTATAGATGAGAGATATTTAGTAGGTGAACAAAACCATAGCAAACTCAAAAATTGACAACTGGGCAAACCATAGATAAGTAACGAATTATCCGCTAAATTGTGGGAAAACTGCCATTGAAAGGTCGAACTGAGCATGTTATAAATCGATAAACACTCCCAAACTTATCAAGAACTTTTTTAAAATAATCTATAATTTAGAAGTATTAAACGCTTAACTCTATTGTTTAACTATCCTTTGACTTATCTATGATCTAACCGATCTAACCTCTAACTGTCTAACCTGCAATTTATGCTTCTTATTAAACGTAGTCAATATTTTTCCTTTTAATACAGTTGGTGTTAAAAAGCACCATTATGGCTTTCACTTTACCCCAAGTTAAGGAACTTTTTAGTGTTTCAGAAAAGTGTAAGAATGTGCATAAAGTAAATATTGTCGCAGACTTTTTTGATTTAAATGTACGCAATGAAAAAAACGTGGAAAAGATACTGCATAATGTTAATGCATTCCTAAATAGTAATGCTAATCGAGAGATTGGCTTTACATTTTTAGGGCTTTTAATTCCTCATTGCCCAACAAGTTTATTAGTTGAGAATTGTGTTGATTGGATTAAAGTTTGCATTCCGAATCAAATTACTAAGTCATTATCACAGGAACAATTGTTTGTGATAGGTATGTATAAGGTTTGGCTAGAAACATCATTTGTGAGTTCTTTTTTAATTTTAGAAGTCCTATTAGAAAACTGCAGTAATATTCAAGAGTTCGCTAAGGCCCTTACTTCTGGGTTACTTCCAAAATTAATTGAATTGATACTTACTAATTTGAATGCTAATAAATCCTTAGAGACTTCCCTAGGTTGCCTTAAACATTGCCTTAGGAAGTTTCCAAGCACCTGTCTACCATTAAAGAACAAGATATCAACTGCTTTACTGAAATTTTTGGAGTTCCAATCTTCAGATAAAATTATACAGAGTGCAGGATCAGCATATCACTTCTTGCAGCAGGCAAGTGGAAAATATATTGATTTATCTCATATTTTTTGTGTATTATTAAAATGTTAAAACCAAAATTTCAAGTATTGTATATACATGTTTATATTTAACTTTGTTTTATTAGGTGGGAGGAGCAGGTCCAGAATCAATTAATCATATTAGTAATTGGTTAGGTCAATTTCAAAAGCTTTGTACCACTGCTCAATCTTTATTTGACCTGTTATTTGAAAATATAACAGAATATAACACTTACCCCTATAATGATGAGCCTTTCAGTTTTAATGAAATACCATCATCAGCAAGCCTTTTGACAGTAATGTCTGTCACTTCAACACGATTAAAAAACACTTTATTATTTCTAAACTCATTTCTTATGTAAGTTTTGAAGAATCAATAAGTTTTATGTTATACTAATAATTTTATTTTTAATAGTGAAAGTTACCCAGTAGCTAAACATGTTCCTGTTCCTGAAATCCTTGATGTCATAAGACGTGGTCTTTCAGCTGACTGCTACAAGAAGACGGACAATGTTGAAGACTTGCACCTGTCTTATTTATTATATCAGATTCAGATACAGCTATTAATTTTACTCAAATCTTTATTAGCTTGGTAAATGCTAAATAATAATCCTGTTACTTGTTAATTTATTTGTGATATTTGTTTGTAGTTTAAAACAAAATATTCTTCCTCAATCGTTTTTAATTACAAAACTCTTAGTGGATTGTTTGTCTAGAGGACAAAGTTACAGATACTTTTTAAACAAAAGGTAAATGAAATGTTTTATGGTGTTCAATTTATTTATTTAAAAAAATATAGTGATTTTCAGGTAACTGTTTATAATGTACTGAGTTACTGGATTTCTGTATCAAGAAGTACATTTAATTTGACATTAAATGATAAATTTATCGATTCTGTTTTACGGGATATACAACCATTGAAAAGTACATTAACACTGACCGTAAGTAATTTATTTCTTTATTTTTTAATGTTTGCACCAAAAAATAGTTGATCGGTTTATTTTTTAACAGATATCGCCTGAATTTGCAAAAAAATCGTCTAAACTTAAACAGAGAAAGGTACAAGAACAATTAAAAAGTATTTCAAATTCACCAACAAGGTATTTACTTTAATAATACGCAATTATTTTTTAAAAGTAGTTGTTATTACTTTTTTTTTGTGTTTAGAGTTTATACAGAGAATTTTAAAAATGTCAAAGAGCAAGTTTGCATAAATGCTATTGCAGCCATAAGGGACTTATGCTCATATACCATGCTTAACAACATTAAACCTCAAACTGTTGCGGTATGTTTACAGTTATTTATTAAATAAAAGAGCTAATTTTGGTTATCCATTTTTAGAAAATGTATAATACAGTGATACAGACTGTGTTAGAAATTCAAGAAGGAAAAATTATAAGTCCTTATGACAATATACAATGCCAACACGCAATGTACGACCTGATATTAAGTTTTTTCGAACAAAAATATTCTTCGGTGCTTCCTCCGTTATACGTTGCACTGCAAATATTTCGAAAAGGACAAAGCAACAAAAATATTTCTATTTCATCAATATGTTACAAAGCAAATCAAGTATTAGAAAACTTTTGTCAGCCTGTTTGTCCTACACTATATTTGGGTAATATTTTAAATACTAAAGAAGACGAGAATGAAGAATTAGAAGTACCACTGCTTGACGAAGTAACAGAAACAGTTTGCCGTGCTGAACATTTACAAAACGACCAAGAAAGGCCTGGTAACGAAAAAGTTAAAATTCTCAGTGTAGAAATCATAAGACAAAGTACTGAAGTGGAATCTATAATTGAAACGAATCAAAATGAAAATAACGAGAATAAAAATATCACGCTCGATATTTCTGTGTTAGACGATAAAAATTCTCCCGAACTAAAGTCAATGTCGACAGAATACGATTCCGACATAAATCTTGTGTTAGAGGAAAATGAGGATAGCTTTAAATGTTCAAATGTTGATCTAGAAAAAGAAGATTCAGACGAATGCCTTCAAATAAATGTTACCGATGACGATATTTTAATAGAAACACCTCCAACCAAGAGGTTAAAAAGGGAAGAAAAATCACCAGAAGGGTTTGCAGAACAACCAACAGTTGACGAACTGAAAAAGGATGAATCTAATGTTCAAGAAAACGTGGATGAGGATATGTTGAGTTCTTTTGTTGATGATGTAGTTGCAGATGTTTGAATTGTAAGAGATAAGTTTGTTATTACAAAAATTGTTCATTTCTGATGAAATTCTTTGTATAATAAAAACATTTGCAAAAATACCGTTTATACTACAGAAATTTTTGTTTGTTTCAAAGGTTTTTTTAACATTTGTATAATTGCTTTTTTTCTATTTGCCTTTTGATAGCTATCAGGTCAAGATACTACATTTACAACGTCTATAGCTCTGCCTAGCGAAACTATGACCCACGGTATATCACATACCAACTAACAACGAAATATATACTTGTCTAAAGAGAATACATCAATAAAACAACATCCCTCTAGCTAATATGATTTGGGTAGTAAATATATCCGCGACTTACAACTCTGAGGCAAATATACCAAGATATTGATTTGTAGTTTGGTACCGGTATATGGTAGTGTAGCATAACATGCTGGTCACATTATACGAGATATTCTTTTAAGGTGCAACGTTTGCACTACCGAGTGTCTACCTATATTTGGAAATATTTTGCATGCAAAGCTGGTAATAATTTTTGAGTTCTGTATGAGTTACAGATAAATTATTTGAACATATTTATTTTTAAAGTATAAAAATATACATCTGTACACTCAAAATCCACTCGCATGTTATTAATACTCAAAAACTCAAACAATAATAATTTCGTTAAACTTAAAGTTGTAATTCCGACTTATACACTTTCGCTTTTAATATTAATAAAAAAATATATGTATATTAGCCACATTAGCAACTAAAGTATGTCATCACAATGAGTTTTTTTACTGGAAGGACAGTTAAGAGATTCTAAAAACGGCGCGAAATGATCTGAAGCTGTCTTCAATCTTAAAAAAAAAAATGTTCTTGAAAATTCCCGTAATAAGAAAAAACAAATTTATAATAAAATATAAAACTTACATTGACTGTTGTGGTAATTCAAATTCGACTGTTTTCATATAAAAGTCTTGCTGTGTGCTAAGTACCGAACAGCGCGTCTAAAAAAATAATTAAAGCAATAAATTAACACTGAAAATAGTAGACAAATTAAATAAAACTAATTTACCTGAGAATACGTTAAGAAAAATAATGAGTCGTCTTCAAATTCCTCCAAAGTGGGTTGATGAATGTGTTCTTCATTTTGCAATGTAGTTATTAATCCCTAATAAAAAAATAAGTGCTTAGGGTAAAGTAAATGGGGAAAATACTGTATAAACTCATTATATATGTTAAAAATATTTTGTGCCACTTTGAAGAAACTTACAAAAAATGCGAATTTTATGGCAGAAAGTTCTTTAAGCACTGAAAGAGATGTTACAGTTGCCGAAACATCAGAAGCCATATTATTTTCGATAAAATATTTGGAGAGACAGTCTCGTGGTTCCTGAGAAATCCTGAGGGACTCATTAACTATGAAGTTAACGGGCAGAAATAATTTTAGATTTGAACTCCAACCGCTATGGAATGGTGTAATACTGGATATTACAGAGTTTGCTATTTGTACACCAAGTCTTCCATATAAAATGGAGCTGAAATAATAATTAAATTAATATTTTTCTGATATCATACAACCAATAAAGCGTTCCTATCTTTCTTCGGAGAGAAAAGTATGAACGCGTACAATTAGAGGTGTTACTTTACTCTAAATTAAGTAAATTTGCAGATAATTGTTGGTAATTAACAACTATTTTTATTAATTTTCGATAAAAGATCATTTATCACATATTATTAAGTTAGTAAACTGATTAAAGAAGACAACAATGAAAATCAATTACATAATAACAGTGGAGGCAATTTCTAATAAAAAATCTAAAAATATTTCGACTTATTTTCTGTGACATAATGTACTTTTAATGGGCTTAAAGCTAATTAAAAATAAAAATACCTTGGATATTTCGTGTCAAAGAATGGTTCAGTTAAAACAACCCTAGGCACAAATATGGTATTTTCTGACGGTATATACGATGTGGATAAGGGTTGAGATAAAGCGTAATCAATAAGTACATTCTCCGGTTCTGAATTTACCAGTCGTTGTCCTTCTAATTTTCGTAAGAATTCAATGCCATGTCTGTAGTTTTCGAATAAATTAGTCTTTATTACGATTAGTTTACTATAATACTGCTTCAGGTGATTAGCACTCAATACGTATTCTGGTAAACCAATTTGAATTTTAAGTCCAGAAATCTACAACAAACGGAAAAAAAATGTTCAGAAATAAGTTAATTTTAAACCATTCCGTATTTCAAAAAAACTTGGTACTAAATGGGACCCGCACTTTACAATTTTTTACTTTGAAAAATTGACTACAAATGAAAATAATTTATATTCTAATATAAATACATAGTTACTATTAGTATCTGTATTAAAATTGGCTTTAGAGTTATTGACAAGCTTATCTTATAATGACACCATATGGTATCGACTAATAAAACTAACGTAAGTTTTCAAAAACACTCACCTTTTTTGATAAATGTTGATAAAAATCAGGCGTTTCTCTGTATTTGTCAATGTAAACCTTTACTGCATTACGTATGGATTGAAATAATCGATTAACAACTTCAGTTTTATTACGAAGAGATCTTTCTTTTCCGAATAGACTCTCCACAGCTAAACCAGCAAATCTATAAACTAAATTTGAACATTCTTCCCAGCGCGGTACTGAACGTTTTATTCCTAAAATTTTTGTTTATTATATCACATTTCCGAAAGAGATTATTATTAATCTTACCCAAAAGGTCTCTTTTAAAATTATTCAGCGAGGCTGTAAAGGGTGTTGATAAGTAAGGTACATATTCACGAACTAACGTCCACATAATGTAACTGTTAAGGGTAGTTCTATCAGTGGTAGATATAATTTGTGAAACTTTTTGTAAATAGTCCAGGGATGATACCAAGACGTCAGTGTCTTCATTAATGTTTGCGTCTGGATATAAAGCTGCTAAAATATCTTGAAGCGGTAACTAAAAATTGTATGTCATGTTTGACTAAGAGTTTCATATCAATTTGATTCGTAGTTTGAAGCATTCTCACAAATATAAAAAAATGAACTCTAAATGTGTTAACATTTAATATACAGTCAGTCCTCGCATATATACAGTACGTTACTCTCTCGAAATATATGGCAAACACGTCAAATTACTTGATTACAGCAAAAAGATCATTAATTTTACACATTACAGCAATTTGGGGTACTCAAGCGTACTGAATGAATGGAAAGAATCGCAGTTTATTAAAGAAATGATTTGCAAAAATACTCGGTATTCACAAAATAACAAGTACACGTGCGCATTTTCAATTTAATATAGAAAAAAAGTAATTCCGAATTCATCAAATTAAAAAAAAAATATGTACATAAACCACAGTGGATTTTTTAGTGTTCTTTTTAATTTTGATAAAATGTTCCATGAAGCAGAATTTCCCAGGAAAGTGTTAACAAAAACTTCCTTTTTCTGTTTGATCATGTAGTACATTTTTGGTAATTGGATCCATTTTTAAATAAAGGGCGGTATATTGAGAACTGCCTGTATATAAATAAGTTTCGTAAATTGTTAAGCGACCGGTTCTTGAATAATTTTTTTATTAATTGAATTAAAGTTGCATGAATGGTTCGTTCAAAAATTGATCCAGTTTTATTTCATTCGACTATTTCGATTTCACGAATTCGATTTCATTGTATGACTTTTGGTCTTTGAACTTTTGATTTAATTGTGTAACGTACATTTCATTTTGTCTTTTTCAGACAAACTGTGTGTGACAATTTCAAAAATGACGTTTAAACATTTATTAATTTAAAAAAGGTATTTTCATTTCGTTGTTATTTGAATTTATGATGACTTCATCAAATGTAATTGGAAATTTGAAGACATTTCTAATTTTTTTATGAATGTCATGTTTAAAATTCTATAACCGGTCATTTAACATAATTTCTTGTTGTTCTTGACAGTTAATGGCTTACCATTGATAGCGTGTAATGCAATTCGGAAAGTTTAACTAAATTATACGTGTTGACCATATTCATCAATTCAAATGAATTAGGCGTGATTTCTGCTATTCTCTTTTCGTAATAAAACATATCAGTACTGAACTTTTCCGCATCCGTCTTAGTTACACTAAGATTAATAATGATGTCCCTGATGAATTGCGTGTATGCAGTTTGAATCTAAAATTAAGGAAATTCTGCAGTTACACATTTAAACGTCTTTTTTAGTTTGCGTTTTTCAAATTATTTACATTCGTATACAAGTCACAAGTTTGCGTACATTTGGCTAGAGATGTGCAAAACGGTTTTTTAAAAGTATTTAAATATAAAATGCAAATACTTTTTTGATTTGTTAATTCAAATGTAAAATACGNTTTCTGTATTTTAAATGCTAAATACGTATTTTCAAAATACTATTTTGTTGTACCTATTTAATTTTCTACATTTACTTAAGTATAAAATATTTTTTAAGAAAACTTTGCAGGCATTTGCTCATTTTTTAAATATTGGAGTTTTTCTAGACTAATAGTGGTGTTTGCACTATATCACCAGCTGCGAACATTGAGTATGGTTCATATTTTTCTTTATGAATTTTGAAAAAAGACACTCATGCCAAAATAGCTTGTTTAGCGTGAAAGATCAGAGGCAAAATAGGGTTGCAAATAATTTTATTGATGTAAAATCACCATCAATCAGTTTTACACAATTAGCGTAAATCAATTCGATATTGTTTTATGGGCTGTTTTGTTGTAATTCACAGAATTTCGTATACCTTCCTAAAAGTATGATAAGTGGTGATTTGGCAGGTGCTGATATCAATTTGGAACTTCAAAATTTCATGGACCATGACATTCAACTCGGAAAACAATATCGATCCAATATTTTAGATTATCCATTTCCAAGAAGTTTAGAATTTTTTGGGCTCTCTTCAGTTAAAGAATTAGAAGGCATTCATGAAATGTCTCTTTGTTCCTTTTTTAAGCTTTTAATACTTTCAACGGCCAATGTGAGCAACATCCGTTCATCATTTTATGTGATGTTTGATCGGTGATAGTAGCAAATATTTTAACGACAAAAATGTATTTTGCATTTTACAAATAGAAAATACGTTTGGAAAAGAATTTTAAATAAAATACAAAATGCTTTACTCAAAAAAGTATTCAAATTTAGGTATTTTTTATTTTGTATTTGCATTTTAAATGCAAGTATTTCAAATAAATCACATCTCTGCATTTGTCTAAAGGAATCCATGGTCTGGGTCAACGGACTGAGCTTTCAAGTGAGAGTCACCTTGATTGCTACGTATCACACCATGAATCGTGTGTGGATATAGGATTTTAAGACAGAATATACAATAAACAATTCCGTTTCCATTTATTCTTCTTTTAAATATGTTATTACATAAAAATCAAAGTCAAACTGCTTTTTATCCACAATTTATATCTAGAGAAAAACTTGGACTAAGGCAAACGGGCCTGGAATCGAATGCCAAGCGATGTTCTGAACCTTTGAGCCATGTTGCTCAGTTAACACCAGTCTCACTCAAAAACCCAGTTCTCATTTAACCAACTCCTACAGTAGGGTAAGTAATAGCAAAGTTAGCAAAAAAGTTGGAAATTTGGACATTTTTCACTACAGAAACAGAAGTACTGCTGAACCAACGAGACATGGCCCCTCAAATTGTAATGCCTACAGATGCGCATTGAACGATGTCTACTCTGTGTTAAGATAAATCATTCAAGTCAAGCTCTTCTTCGAGCTAAGAACTCGATGGCTGTAATTTTCGTAATCAATATAATAATAATATCAAATAAGCATAATATAAACACATAAAGTTGGAGTAAATAGTGTGATCCCAATGACCAACCCCTTGTGAATTTCGATATTTTCCAGAGCGTAAGCGAGATCTAACCGAATGCGGTTCATGTCTATCATCTGCGCTGTAAGTGAAAAAGTCAAGGACGACGTCTCGATGGTACAGCTGTACTTACCTATACCATTTTTCCTGATAAAAATACTGTGTAATGAAAATATCGTAGCCATTTATATACCTATTATACTTTTACTCCATTTTATACAAGGTGTTCATATAAATAAAGTTTAACAGCTTATAACCTTTTAATTATCATATTGTTCAAAATTAATTTAATTACAACACCTTTGTGTTTGTTTAGTATCTAATTTTTATGAAAAAGTCAAACTGAACTTACCAAATTGTCATCATCTTGATAATAGTAGCTCTTGTCGGGTAATCCTAATCCAGATGGAAAAATAGCAATAACATTTTTACCTGGGGTGTATGGATTCGGTTTCACAGTCACTTTAAAATACGGAGCCGCCCCATATTTCACGTGAAGATTAGTGAGAAGTGTTTTGTAATTAAAGTCGGCCATGTTAAAGTCCCGTAGGACGTACCACCCACCTATAATAAAGAAATTAATTTTTTATTATAATATGACTTTTGGTCTTTGNATGGGCATTAGCCTGTTCATTAGAATTTTAACAGTGATTTTTGGTTCATTTGCTTATACCAGAATCAACACCTTAACGGGTACTTAACCCCAAAATTCCTTTTATTTAGCTTGGTCATTTATATCAAGATAAATAATCTTGCTAGAGGATAAATAGCACATGGTGAACGAATCCACCCAAAATTTTATTTTATCTCATCAGCACGCCATAAGCAGGCTAATCACCGGCCAAACCGAAGATTCTCCATACACTATTGACGAGGTGGGGATTTTTTTATTAAAGTAGATATGATGTTGATTTAATGTATCGATTATATTCTGAAGATGCGACAAAACAATTTTTAAGAGTTTACGTTAAACAGTGGAAATTAAGTTGTTTTATTTTTATTTATGAATATAATTATGTACCTGCTTATTATTCATATTCCATAAAATATAAAAAACACTTTTTAATTTCTTAATCAGCTTTACAATATTTATATGTATATTATTAAAGTATTTTTATAATACTCATAAAATGCGTGTAGTTAAAGTTTATTGCAATAATCTGTGGTTTATGTATAATACATACTACATGTGATATAAATTGATAAAGTCAATGTGTTGAAATACTACGAAAGTAAAGAAGCAACAAAGAATATTCTATTTCGCAAGTAGCTAATTTGAACCAACAACTTGTTTCTAAAATATAATCAAATTCTCATAAATAATAATAATTAGTTATTCGTATCAATCGCATACATTTATATATTTTAGTCAGACTAGTAGCTATCAACAAAATATCAAGGATTATCCATAAAAATATTCATTTGTGCCAAGGCGTTCCACGATCTATTTGGTGTCGTACTCGGAAAATAATGAAAGGATATTAGTTAAGTAAGATGCGGGGTTCGTCACCTAGAGGTGGGAAGATAAAATACTTATTTATGTAAAGAAGACGCATTAACAAAACAACATTTGTTTAGAAATTATTATTAAACGAAAATGTCTTAGGGTGAAATTGCTTGAAATTGAAAATTGCTGTTCAAATCATTGACAACTTTAACCGAGTAGGTATTTCCTTAAGATTTTCTTATTTTTATTAGTTAAAATTTAATTTGATATTGATGTTACAAGTTAATAAGCAACTTCTATTTTACTACCAAATGTTATTAAAATTAAAATACGCCACCTTGAATTTCACCTTCTTGGAGCTCTCTCTCCACCTTATAGTCACATTTTCAGCGATTTTGCTAACAAAACCCTCTATCAAAGATTTCTTGTTATTACAATTTGTCAATTCTACACGAATTTTCCTGTGCGAAGTTTTGAAGTTAAACGAAAAAATTGCAAATCATCACGACACCCAAACACACGTTTATTTATTAACTTTAATTACTTGAGAATGTTTTCCTACCGTAATGAAAAATTTTAAGAACTACCGTGTTGAGAAAAAATTAAAAAAAAAAATGATGAACTGCGAACATTTCCTTAGACATCCCCTACCCCTGTCATAGCTCGTCGCTAAGTAAAATCTCTTTCCACTTTATTTGCAAACGTACTTTATTAACGGTTCCTAAAATTTACATCATTTTAATGAACTTGTAAGAAATTTAAAAAATACCTTTTTAATTTGTAAATTAATATTTGACATATTTTTCCATCTACCTTGCCTACAGTGCTGTAAAAATTGAAGGAGTGATTCTTGCGGTATTTTTATGAAGAAAAGTTCCTGTAGGAAAATGGGTCATGTTGACCAACATTTTTCTTCAATATTTTCGAAACCGTATTCGAGTTCTGAAATTTGGTAAATTGCATCAATCTTTGACGCTAAGAAATTTACAAAAACCTAGGTGGTGGTATGTGGTTCGTTAAAATTTGAATTGAATATCTCAGAAAAACTTCAAAACTGATTCAATCAAAAGTATATGTGTCATACCAAATTTCAGAATACCTGCATGAATGGCTCCGAAAACATGGAGAAAAATCGTGTCTATTTGAAGGGGCGCAGCTCTCTTAAATTAGGAAGCATTTTTCGACAAATGTTTGTAGAAACTTTTCCTCAGGAATCACCTATTCAATTTTTGCTGTATGTTTAAGAAACTCTCCATGTATGTTCATGACAAAACATAAATGGACGGCAATTTGAATTTAGATTTTTAATTACTTTTACTAATTGCAAGACATCTGTAATACCCGGATCTATACATTTATTTATAGAAATCAACGGTGGCTAATTAGTTTACCTACCTGTATATATATAGTATAATATATGATCCTGTGTTAACTTGTACTTTCATTAGTACATAGGTAGGCACATGTGTAAAGCACAAACATGGAAAAATTAACTTTTGGAATTCCGTTGTTTGTAATGTAAATATGTATGTATTACGCATGAATACTAAGATTGCGATCGTAAAAAGTTTAAATCAAGTGTCAATCTAAGTACATAATAATGTGGTCGCGTAATTTCCTTATGAGTAAACTAAAGTAACCATTATTGCACATGTATTATCATTAACAACCAAAGAAAATCCACATGTACAATTATTTGAAGTACGTACTAATTTTTAAATAAAACATTGTTGAAAAATTGCGAATGTTTTTACTCATTATCGATACGCATCTTTTTCTTTTATCATTTCAATTTAATTTATATTAAAATATTAGTCTTTTGCTTTTCAAACAATTTCTTCAGAATTTTCTTGCCTTATTATGAAATAACTTTTGCATAAATATTGGATCAAAAAAAATATTAATAAATAGAATTGCAGACAAATAAATACTTAAAAAATTAAGGCCGTACTTAAGGGGGGGAGATATGGGGATTTAAACACCCCAAAATTTGTCAGACACGTAAATTTTTTATTTCTACTATTATCTGTAGATAAGGATTAAAGATTAAACTATGGGCCGATATTTCTTTCCGAAATAAAATTCTGGTTATAGGTATCTACCAATAAAAAACTATCATAAAAAATTACTTCATACAAAAATAAGAAAAACTGTGCATAGGTACGTTATCCAACTTATTCAACCTATAAAATACATGGCCAGATGTCAAAGACGACCTCCACAATATCTTCATTTTTGCGATTAATATATTTTCATCTGTAAAATTTAATATAATAACCAATTAACATTTTTAATTTTATGCTAACTAATTCATAAGAAGTGGTTTATAAATTATTCGAATCGGATGAAAGCTGTAACAAGTCATATATACTACGTTGACTCATGACCTCTGAAAGAATTAATTTATTAATGCATATGGTCATACATATAAATTTAAAAAATCGTTACTTTTTCTTGTCATTTTTATCACTTCGCTCGGGCTTCAGCAGATTTGTTAAAATTGTAAAAGAAAAAAATTAAAAATATTATTTCTTATGTAGGTAAGTCATATTTACAGCCATTACGAATATTTCACTAATTTCAATTTCGCCTAGACGGTTTAGAAACCAGTACTGATTTCAAAAGCAGCTGGGTTATTAGATTGTTACGTATTGAAGGGTGAATTAGATATTTTTTTTAGTTAGTACGTGGTTGGAGCACGGCTCTGTATGGGTGCTAACCGTGGTCGGGTGGAAGAGAAAAAGTTAGAAGCATTTCAGATATGGGATCATGGATGAATGATGAAAATACCGTGGATAGAAAAGATTAAAAATGAGTAAAATTAGAAAAAGAGTATGAGAACAAAAGGCATTATGAAAGTCAATATGAAAGGAAAAATGCTCTCCAAAAATGAATCAGTGCATCACTAATTTTCAGTGAATATTCACTGTTATATCACTCCAAATAAGTAAATATTAACTGAACTAATTAATGAATTGAAATTACTACAATTGAATCAGTGAAACAAAAGTTCAGAAGAAAAGGGTATACAAGGCAGTAAAATCCAATTGGAGTCAACTGTCGACTTGAGCTAGTATTAGAACTTCAGTGATAATAATTGTTTTAATTGTAATAATATTTTCTTGCTTTCTTGCCTGCAAAGAAGACTCAAAGAAGAAACAATGATTTGGGCTGAAATACGATCATCTAAATGAACTTTTGGACCCAGATGTCGACTTCTAGGTATAACTTTCGCCATAAGTTCATTTAGACCACAGTTCCTCATCAACCCGAATGAAAATTCTACCATGGAATTTGACCGTGAAAAGCTACGTTCTTATAATATAATGTCAATACAGTTTTCAATCATAAAGACATTTGACTTTTATTGATAGAACAGCGAATTACTTCAGTAATTCATTACATCAGTAGGTACATATTAGTAACTGATGAATCAGTTAAAAGTGTTGATTTTACAGCAGGTACTTTGATGACTGTTTTTCCAGTTAATATCACTTATTTATTGCGGATATCAAAGTAAAGAAGGTAGTATTCTGTTCGCAAACAGTTAAGGATATGAAATGTGAAGTTTGGCTTCGGATATATGAAAGAGTGGAGTCTGAGTATGATGATACTGTGACACACAATTAGTCCCTTTTCAGAAAAGCCTAGGCGGAATTGAATGTAGGATTGGTTGCGACAATAAAAAGAATAAGTAACTACTAAAACCCCAAACGTTAACCCTATTTTTATACTAAATGGAAAACAATTAAAAAGGGATCAAAAATACAAATATCAAATCGATCCATTCGAAGAAATCAAGATCAAAATAGAAATAACTCGAAAGTCATTTGCACAAGTATCTACAATTCAACGTTTGAAAACAGAAATTTAAACTTCTACATCAGACTAAGATTTGTGGAGCGGTGTGTGGTCAATGTTATTGAACGGAGTGGAAACTTGAGCTTTGAAAGCTCAAATGATGAAAAAACACGAATCATTTCAGATATGACTTATATAGACGCATTCTGGACGGAAACAATTACTAACGACAAAGTGATAAGACGAATTAGAAGCAAAATAAAACTGTTAATAATCATCAAGATAAGAAAAACATCTTACCACACACGACAATTAC